CAATGAAAAGCTAAAATATGTATACATAGAAATTAATAATTTTACTGAATATGCCTCAGATCCTAATTAATTTCCGAAATCTAGCCACAAATGAGCTTGATTATTATAAAATACCCCTAGTTCCCTCTGTTTACTCCACCCTAACTGAAGTAAATACCAAGTCAAGGCTCTGAAACTTCTGAGGTTGATTTATTTGGGTGGATGCTTTGCTAGGCAGGATACATACCTCACCCCTTCCCAGAACCTGCTTCCTGTTTTTATTTATTTTTTGGCCATTCCTTATAGCCGCAGACCTATAATGCACTTATAGTCTCCAGATATTAGTCCACTAGCACTAAATCCCTTGACATAAGGAAGGTATTTCCCTTTCTAGCCAACATCTTACCCACCTGAGTACTAGTTGATCTTATAGTCACCGTTTTTGTAACTCTTAAAAGTCTCTACAGTTCTGGGTTTATGCAAAACCTATTGGTGACTTTGACTTGATTCTCTCTGGCTGTTACTCAAAAGTTAATAGGTTAATTTTACCCATTGCTTCATCACTTCCGTTATTATAAATCAGCATATCTTACTGGGAAACAGGAACTTCTACCATCATTTCTGGAATCTGCCTGCTTCACATCAGGTCTCTCCAACAAACAGAAGCAATCTTCTTACTATTTATATTTTCAAGACCTAGACTCCATTTTGGGCCTCTTACTAAGTTATTATTTTCTAGCCAAAGGAAATAAAAACAATGAATGATCAAACATTCCAGGAACTCAAGTAACAAGTGGACATTTATCTTCCTGATATGCTCTTTCATTTGCTTCATTCATTCATTCATAAGTATTTGTTGCTCACTTATTACGTACCAGGCACCGGGCTAGATCTGTGAAAGACAGAGGCATGCAACCAGATAATCACAGTACAATCTTATAAATGCTATGACCATGTATTACATCTGAAATACAGAAGAAAAGGGATAGTTTTGCCTGGGGAAGTCAGAAAAGGTATGATCGATGAGGCAACATTTGATTACTTATCAGTCAAATGAGTGGTTCTTCAAAATTCTATTATTGCAACAGTTTCACAATAGCAAAATTGCCCCAAGCATATGTCAAATGACAGCCATAATTCCATGAAGGAAAAAGGGATATTTCTTTACCAGATGTATTTATTTATATATGTTAACTAAACAGAGTTCTCTTTCTCACTTCAAATGCTCTGTATTTCATAGTCAGTTCCAAAATATCTTTATTTTTTTTAATTATGAGATTAATCAACTTTGTAAAAGTAAGAACTTAAATATTAACTTCAAATCTTTATATAATGCTAATTCTTTTCTAATCTCTTAGTGCATATAGATACATTTTGATAATTATCTTTAGCACGCCTGTATTCACTTGTGTTCTGTTTATTTTCACTTACTCTCTCATGATGCATTTCCACATGTTAGAATAGCTATATAGTATTTCATCAAATTAAAGTAATTGTTTCCTTATTATTAGTTGAATTGTTTTGAGAATTTTTGTCCTATAAATGCCTTTGCATAGACCACTGTTTTCTTATATATTCTCAGTAAAGGGATTCTGGATAAGATTGTGAACAGCTTTTCAGCTCTTGTTACATGTTGCCAGATTATTCTTAATAAAGACAAACTAATTTATAGTGACATAACTAAAAAATAAAATATACCTTTCTTTATTACTGCCCTACTAAAATTGGAGTTTTATTTATTTTGGTTAGTTAAATAGGTTTTAATATGTATAAATTACTTTTTCTATCTTTATTTCCCAGTGACCTGTGTATTTTTCTATATTTGCTTTACCTCTTTTCTTGAAACTTATGTGTCTGCAATTACTTGCTTATCTAATAGAGTCTGCACATTTCTATATATATATTTATCAATTATTTAAATATATTTTATGGTGACCTTTTATCAGTGAGATTTATAATATATATATTTCCTAGTCTATTACTTTCTATTAGATAATTATTTTCTTGCCTTTGTGCAAATATTTAAATATTAGATGTATCCATTTTATCAGATGTATTATTCAGTCTTTCAAGAATTACGAATTTATCTCCTAGTTTTATCTGAATAGGTAGGCTATTCTGGTTCTCTCCAAATTTCAAAGTTGTAAGTTATTTGATTACAAATTGATATATACACGTTGACTGCAGGGAACTGGAAAACAGAGACAAGCACAAAGGAAAAAGGTAAAAATTGCTTGTAATTCCACCACTCTGAGGAAGCCTCTTTTTATTTTGGCATATTCATTTCCAATCATTTTAAATAAAATAAGTACACAAATGTTTTTAGAAAAATTATGTCATTAAGAATGGATTTTGCATTCTGTTTTTCTGGAAACATAACAATATATGATATACTTCTGTTATGTTTTGGTAAGTAGCCACCTACAATCCAATTTGATGGCTGTATTATATAATTTCTTCAAAAGTTATTTTCATAAATAGCCTTTTTTCTGTTTATTTTGCAAATCATCTACTTATATTCTTTTGCCATTTTTCTACTGGATACTTGTTGATTTCTTACTGATTTCTGTGAGGTTTTTAAAAATATATTAGGGATACTGACACTTTTTCTTCTACATGTTATTGCAATATTTTGCTATTTTATTATTTGCCCTTTAATTTTGTGCTTGCTTTCATGTATAGAAGTTTTATGTTTTATGTAATAAAATTTTTGGTTTCTTTCCTTGCAGTTACACTTAGAAAGATAAACTCATTCCTAGGTCAAATCCATTTTCACTGCATTTTCTTTGTTATTTATGGTTACAGTTTTACATTTAACTCTTAGGCTATAATGTTAATTTTAGTTTATCATATGAGATAAAAATCTGACTTGTTGCCAAATAATTAACCAATTGTTCCAGCACTATTGTTTGAATCATTCGTATATATGTTGTTTTGAAATTCCACCTTTATCATTTACTGTACATACATATACTGACTCATATGTGTGGATATTTTAATCTTACCTTTTGGCTCTGTTGATCACTGTTTCTCCTTTCTTAGTACTGTATTTTTAAAGTTATAGTTTCAACCTCTCCAATGATTGTGAAAATGTAAAATAAAAGAATAGTGCTATATATTTTTTTTGCCCATCAATTTTACAAAAGTTAAGATTGCCAATATCCAGTGCTAATAAACATTTGAAGATGTGGACACTCTCACCACTCCTGGTAGTGTAAATTAGAGGCAGGTAGGCATTACCTATAAAAAAAACTTAATGCACATATCTTTGACCAACAACCTTACTTCTAGGAATCTATCCTTTTCTTTTTCTGCGTCCCCCCGCCCCGAGATGGAGTCTCACTGTTCTTGCCCAGGCTGGAGTGCAGTGGCACGATCTCAGCTCACTGCAACCTCCGCCTCCTGGGTTCAAGCAATTCTTCTGCCTCAGCCTCCCAAGTAGCTGGGGTTACAGGCTCCCACCACTACGCCCAGCTATTTTTTGTATTTTTAGTAGAGACGGGGTTTCACCATGTTGGCCAGGCTGGTCTCAAACTCCTGACCTCATGATCCACCTGCCTTGCCCTCCCAAAGTGCTAGGATTACAGGCATGAGCCACTGCACCCAGCCCAGAATATATCTTATGTAACACTCATACAAGTACACAAAGATAGATATTTAAGGATGTCCACTACATTATAATTTGTGGTGGCAAAACAACAATTAGAAGCACTATAATGTGTATAAACAAGAATGGTGAAATTATGTATATTGTATTATACCTAAAAACAAAAGGTAGATTTCCAGCTTCCAGCTGTAATGAAGTAGCTTGTATCGGGCTATCATACTAAGAATAACTAGAATGGCTGGATTTTAAAAATGAAGGTGAGTGAAGGCTTCAGAGAGTAATTACAACAGCCAGGACTTGAGAAACCAAAACCTTCGACAGAAGGGACCCTCAAAGAAGTAAACTCACTGTTCTCTGTGTAGTTTACCTTTGAGGCATTTGCTGATTCTTAAGTTTTGCTTGCATGAAGCAAGGGGCCAAGAAACTAAGCAGAAAGTCTCACTGTTCTAGGGAGACAAAAATTGCATTTCAGGACCTTCCTATGTGGAAGGGGTTATGATAAACACCTTGGACTTTCAATTGTAACCCCTAAAGAGTGGGCTACACCTTAGGAGTAAGGAAAAACCATAAATAGGCAAGTTCTTAGAAAGTCTAAAATACAAATCCTAAAACACAATCTTCTCAATTCCTGATTAGACTGAGAAGATCTGCTTATACTGTATCTGCCTGCTAATATAAACTGAATCATCTCTGGAGGGAAATATCATCCAGAGCCTCTACAATTCTTTATACTCTATATTCAGCATTGAAAAAATATAACAAGAGATGACTTAGAAAACCATGACTTGTTATTAATTGGTAAATTAATAAAAGCCAAAAAAAAAAAAAAGATAAAACAGACACACAGACTTCTACTCAACATAGCATTTTTCTTGAGGTGAGGTCTCACTGTATTACCCAGACTGGTCACAAACTCTTGAGCTCAAGGGATCTTCCCACCTTAGCCTCTGGGACTACAGGCACACACCATCACAGTCGGCCAGTATTGGAAGTTTTAGCCAGAGCAGTTAGACAAGAAAAAGAAATAAAAAGACATCTAAATTGGGAAGGAAAAATTTAAATGATCTCCATTCACAGATGACATGATTTTATATGGAGGAAACTCTAAAGATTTTACCAAAAAAAACCTAAGAGAAGAAATAAGCAAATTCAGCAAAGTTATAGGATACAAAATCAGCACACAAAAGTCAGTTGCACTTTTATACACTAATAATGAACAATCTAACAAGGAAATTAAGAAAACAGTTGCATTTATAATGCATTAAAAAGAATAAAATACTTAAGAATAGGCTTAACCAAGCAGGTGAAAGACTTGTACACTGAAAATGGCAAAACATTCCTAAAAGAAATTAGAGACGATACAAATAAATGGAAAGACATGCTGTCTTCATGGGTTAGAAGACATAATATTGTTAAGATGCCAGTACAACCCAAACTATCAACAGATTCTGTGCAAGCCCTATCAAGAGCCCAGATGACAATTTTTGAAAAATAGAAAAATTTGTTCTAAAAGTTGTATGGAGTCTCAAGGGACCCTGAATAGCCAAGAGATTCTTGAAAAAGAAAAACAAAGTTGGAGGACTTCCACTTCTTGATTTCAAAATATACTACATGGCTATAGTAATCAAAACAGTATGATACTGGCATAAAGACAGACATATAGAACAATGGAATAGAATGGAAAACCCAGAAATAACCTTTGTATATATGGTCAAATGATTTTCAGTGAGGGTGCCACAGCCACTCATGGAGAAAGAATAGTCTTTTCAACAAATGGTGCTGGAAAAACTAGATACCCACATGCAAAAGAATGAAGTTGAACTCTTACTTTATACCATGTACAAAAATTTAGCTCAAAATTTATTAAAGACCAAAGCATAAGACCTAAAATGATAAAACTCTTAGAAGAAAACAAAGAAGAAAAACTTTTTGACATTGGATTTGGCAATGATTTCTTAAGTGTGACACAGATAACACAGACAACAAAAGAAAAGAATTCAGAAACTGATCTTCATCAAAATAAAAATTGTGCATCAAAGGATACCATCAACAGAGTGAAAAGGCAACACACATAATAGAGGAACAGATTTATGTGTCATGCATCTGGTAAGGGATTAATAACAGACTATTTAAAGAAACATTATAGCTGTACAATGAAAAAATAAACCAGCCGGATTCTAAAATGGGCAAAGGAATTGAATATATATTTCTTCAAAGAAAATAGGCAAATAAACGATAAGGAGATGAAAGGATGCTTGATATCCCTAATAATTCGGGAAATGCAAATCAAAACCACAATGATATATCACTTAACGCTCGTTATGATGACTATTATTGAAAACCAGAAATTAACAAGTGTTGGTGAGGATGTGGAGACATGAAAACTTGTGTACTGTTGATGGGAATGTAAAACGGTGCAGTCCCTATGGAAAAACAGTATGGCAGTTCCTCAAAAAATTAAACAGAATTATTGTGTGATCCAGCACTTACACTTCTGAGTATATATCCAAAAGAAGTGAAAATAGGAACTTGAACAGACATTTTCTACACCAACATGCAGCATTGCTCACAATAACCAAAAAGTGGAAACAACCCAAATGTCCATCAATGAATGGATAAACAATATGTGATGTATATACAAAATGAAATATTATTCAGTCTTTAAAAGGAAGGAAATTCTGACATATGCTACACATAGATGAACCTTGAAGACTGTGCTAAATGAAATAAGCTAATCACAAAAGGAAAAATATTGTATGATTCCATTTATATGAGATAACAAAATCACAGAAGTACAAAGTAGAATGGTAGTTGCCAGAGACTGGGAAGCAGGGAACGTGAAAAGTTACTGTTTAATGCATAGAGTTTCAGTTTGGGAAGATGAAAGAGTTCTGGAGATAGATGGTGGTGATGTTTGCATAATGATGTAAATGTACGTAATGCTACTGAACTGTACACTTAAGGTCATTAAAATGGTAAAATTTATGTTGTATCTATTTTACACTATTAAATAGAAACAAAAAGGAAGGAGTAGTAGGAAAACCTGGTTGTGACATCAACCTCAGGTAATATGTGTGCTTTACTGCATGGACCCTGGAATATGATCAAGGCTTTGACAGTTCTCTGTCTCTTCAGGGTGATAGTCCCCTAAGAATGAAGCAACACTAAAACTGGCATATTTGATAAGTATAACACTTAGGTAAAGCAAATGAAAAAAATTAAATCCCCAAGAAAAATGTGTTCTAGTCAAAAAATAAAAAAGTAGTAGTAAGCATATTTAATATGTGTTAGGAGGGAAAAAGTTTCAGAACATATATACAATGTTATCCTATTATATAAAAGAAAAATATGTGTGTGAGTAAATTATTTTCTCATTGTAAGAGGTATTGGTTTCGTAACTGCCTTTTGGAAGACAAAAAGAAATTCAGCTACATTTAACATAGACATCAATTATAGGGTGGATTCCAATTTCAGAATGCTAAACTGTAAAAAGAAGACAACTTAAATTCAAGGAAATACAGTGAATGTGTGTGTGTGTCTATAAGTATATAGATACATTGTGTGTGTGTGTCTGTGTGTGTGTGTGTGTGTGTGTGTGTACATGTAAAAATGTTTGCTGTTTTGATTTGTGCTCTAGAAATATCTTTACCATTTCTCAATTCTGTGTCAGGATGCAACAATAAAATGAAACTCAGTGGACGACCCTACAGACACATGGGAGTGCTTGGAACTTCAAAACTCTATGACATTCGGAAAACTATCTTTACTTTCACTCCACAGGTAGGTGAAATAAGCTGGAATGTGCAGTGAAATGAATGGAAATAAAAGAAAAACATTGCAGAAATAAAACATTTATTGGAGTTGGGATAAGTGTCAAAGAGTTCCACCAGGCCTTGCACATAAGTTACTCAGTGAATATTTGTAGAGTTGAACTGAATTGAACTTCTAACAGAGTTTCGCCAAGTGATTGAACTACCAAAAGTAACCCTGGGTGTTGCAGAAACAGTAACTAAGGATTTTACAAATGCTAGAGTACTTACAAAAGTAATCCTTACTTTTAATACAAGTTAAAAATAAAACTGTATGTGTCCTTTATAAACAAAATACAGTCTTTTTTATTCAGCTACTGAATTGTGTGTTTTCTTTGGAGGAAGAGCCCTTTTTCCATTCATAGAAATCTTCAGTATACTCTTCTAATCAAAAATGTCAGTACTGTTTTAGCTGTTATTAAATACATAGCCTGATATTTATCACCTACATGATAATAGCAAACCTGACTATATGTGTTTATGGGGAGGAGAAACTATTTTCTGGAAAGAAAGCTTAAACTCCCCATTTGCCATCTTACATTTGAAATCATGCAGATGAGGTAGGTATAGACTGACTTTGCCATTTGCTAGCCATATAATTTTGCTAATCCATATATCATCTCTTAGTCTTATTTTTCATCTATTAAAAGAAGAAAAACCCTTCACTGGAGGGTTATAAGATTAAATAAAAGTATATACTTGAAAATACTTTGTAAACTGCAGCATACTGTAAAAATGTCAGAAATTATTATATGTGCCAGTTAACCACCAGATACTTTGAAATGTATTAGACATTAAATTTGGAGGTATCATTGCCCTATCACATCTTGGATAACCTTCTGAATATGTGAGTTGTTTAAAATATTACTTGATAATTGTGAGAGTAAATTATTCTGAGCTATTATTTTTATTTATATCAGTTTATAGACCAGCAACAGTTCTACCTGGCCCTGGACAACAAGATGATAGTGGAAATGCTTAGAACAGACCTCTCCTACCTCTGTAGCCGCTGGCGGATGACAGGCCAGCCCACCATCACCTTCCCCGTCTCACACACCATGCTTGGTAAGGGCTGCATGAGGCAAGGAATGAATGTATTTTTGAAATAGGACAAAGATTTAGCCCTTCAACATCTTGGTGTTTCTAGAGAGCTACTTCTTATAATTTATTCTTTCAGCAGTATTTATGGGCTCCTATTTTATGCCAAGCACTTTTCTAAGCACTGGGGACACATGGAGTGAATAGGCAGATGAGGCTTCTGTTCTCATGGAGCTTATGCTTTAGAAGGTGAAGACAGACTATAAGTATGTAATATATAAATCAATACACAAGAATAGTTTGAGAGCTATAATTGAATAGTTTTCAGATAGTTTGAGAGCTGTAATTCAAAAAATGTAGCAGAGGATAACTTAAAATTTGGTTGGCAGTTACTTTAGATAATTAATTTCTAGGTCAATTTTCGAAAACTTTATGCATACAATTATTTTTAAAGACAATAATACTATATCTTCATCTATCTTACTCCAGCGGTACATCAAGATTTTATAGATAATTTCCCAGGCTGCTTCTCCCAAAGCCTGTCTAACTGAAGCTGTAAAATCTATTAGGGGAAAAAGCAAAAAGGCTTTTTTTTTTGGCTGGATTTCCTGACATTGCTTCCTTGAAACTGAATGAAAGGCTTTATTATTCTCTCAGTTCCTGGAGGCCTAGAGCCAATACTGAAGCAACTGTTTTCTTTCTGTGTTTCTCCTGTTGCTTCCAAAGGCCTGTTTGTACTGCCAAAGTACATATAATTCCTTTTCATTAAAGAAAAATCCCTTATTATGAATCATTCAAAATCCAGAGAGACTGTTAGGGATTTTGGTCACATCTCAAAAGTGCTTCAGTATCACAGGAGTTGAGGAAGTAGGGTAGTCTTTCTCCTTTTTGCCTTTCTTCTTTACTTAAGACAATTAACACAAGTGCCTATTTCAAAACTACTATATTTACAGAATTGTCTTCAGAAAGTATACAGTCTAATTGGAGAGGCAAAGCTAATATGCAAGAATGATAGAAAATAATTTAAGATAATATATAAAGAATTACTGAACCATTAAATCAGTACTTTACAGTGAAGGAGGTCCAGTTGACAAAATTTCTCAACTGAGGCAGCCAGGCTTTTTGGAATGGACAGTATTCAGATGAGAGGAAGAATGAAGGAAAGGTACTTTAAGTGAGGAGGAAAATACCATGAATGAGGCCTAGAGGTAAGAATGAATTTGACCTGTAAGAGGAGAATGAAGTGACCCACCTGAATAGAGTGGAGTCTGTGTGTTGGAGTATAATTATAAGCAAAATGGAAAAAGTAAGGTAGGGTCCGATAATGAAGACCTTGAAAAAAGCAAAGATATTTAAGATAGATTTTCTCAGAAGTCTGAAACTATCAAAAGTTTTTGAGCAAGGAGTGATATGATAAAAATAATATTTGGGGACTATTAGTTGGTGACAGTACATATTGTAGTGAGGAGAGACTGATGTCCGGGAAACTAATCCACATATGAGGTGAAGAGAAGGTACACTGGATTGTAGGTAATGAAAGTAAAATGGAAAAGAAAGATACAAATCATTTTAAGCAACACCTAAGTCAGGTATTGGCTAACTATATATAAGGGATGAATCAAGATAGCCATAACAATATACCAAATACTGGGTAATTTATAGACAACAGAAATTTATTTTGTACTGTTCTGGGAGGTAGGAAGTCCAAGATCAAGGTGCTGGCAGGTTTGGTGTCTGGGAAGGACGTGAAGTCTCTGCTTCTAAGATAGTGCCTTGTTGCTTCATCCTCTGAAGCTGACACACATGTGTTCTTACATTGTAGAAGGGACAGAAAAGAAGCAAACCCACTCTCTTAAGCCCTTTTATAAGGGCCCTGATCCCACTCATGATGACTCCACACTCATGACTTAATCACCCTAGAGGGCCTACTCCTTAATACTATCACATTGGTGATTAAGTTTCAGCAAATGAATTTGGGGGTACATTCAGACCACAGCACTAGGTAAATGATGCTGCATTGATGGAATCAGAGACATTTTATAGAAATATGCCAGTTATAAAGCGACATGAATTTGTATAGTGACAAAGAGATTTAAAAATTGAAATACCTGAGGGTTGGGATGAGATACATAGCCACAGCTTGAGAAGCAGAATAAAACTAAAGATCTAGGCTTAAATCAAGCGTTGTTGGTACTTGATATGCGGTCACATAACAACAACAACAAAAAATAGTAACAATAGCAATAATAACTATAATGTTTACTGAATACTTTCTCTGTGCCAGGCACTTTGCTAAGTGCTTTCAATAAATTATTTTGAAATCTCTACAACAATCTTATTCAGGTAGGTACTCGTTGTCCAAAGTTGCAAAGCTAGTAAGTAACAGAGCCAGGCCTGAAACCAGATCTTTCAGTCCCTGAAGTCCACATTACCAATAGCAGAGTGTTTTTGCAAGTAAAAATTTTGTGCTGGTGAAAACAGAACAAACATTAGTGATCACATTGAAATGTAGATTAGTTAAATTCTCATAATAAAGACAAAGATTCCTATAATACATAAAAGAGCAAAAATAATACATAAATGGCATCCAGGTGGATGCTTATTATAGATATCCCTGAAATAAAATCAGAAAGATGGAAGAAAGGAATGTGTAAAGATGTATCATATAAATGCTGACAAGAAAGCAGTTGTAGCAGTATTAATATCAAAAATAGCAAATAAAATTCAAGGCAAAAATCAGTAAATGGGACAAGAAGGATATTTTATATTGATAAATAGTACACCAACAGGATATGTGTAAACTTTTATGTACAGAATAATGTGAATTAAATGTATAAAGCAAGTATTTAGGAAAACCTAGGGACAAGATGAGAAAACTATTATATATTCATGATGGGAAATAACAACATACTTCTATCAGAATGTCACATATCAATTATACAAAATAATTAAAGACATAGAGGAGTAACAAACTTGATTTTTGTATTTCTGGATGTATACATAACTCTGTATTCAAAAGATACAATACACAAAGAATCTTTATTTATTTATTATTATTATTTTTTTTTGAGACGGAGTTTCGCTCTTGTTACCCAGGCTGGAGTGCAATGGTGCGATCTCAGCTCACCGCAACCTCCGCCTCCTGGGTTCAGGCAATTCTCCTGCCTCAGCCTCCTGAGTAGCTGGGATTACAGGCACGCGCCACCGTGCTCAGCTAATTTTTTTTTTTTTGTAGTTTTAGTAGAGACGGGGTTTCACCATGTTGACCAGGATGGTCTTGATCTCTTGACCTCGTGATCCACCCGTCTCGGCCTCCCAAAGTGCTGGGATTACAGGCGTGAGCCACCGCGCCCGGCCGAATCTTTATTTTTTAAAAGTAGAAATCATACAGATGATATTGCCAGATATGTGACATAAGACTAACACGGAATAGTTAAAAAAAGAATCTAACTATAAAGGAATTAAATTTTTTTCCAAATAATTATTAGATTAAAGAGAAAGTCAAATGTGAAATTATATCCTTCTTAGAAATGAAAATTGATACCACTACTTATCATAATTTGTAAGATTTGGTCAAGGTCATATTTAGAAAATTTCATATCCTTACTTTTACTTTTAAAAAATGACTTTTAGTTTTGAGACAAGATGGCATAGACTGACTTTTCCCTATTCCTCCTGCTAAGTGCAGCTAAAAATCCTTGACGTTATATATAAAACAAACATAAGAAAACTCTAAAAGTTGGAAAGAAGGCAGATCAGCTAGGGACTTTAGCACCTGAAGAATAGCAGAGTAGTGAATGTCTTGGGTTTTCCTTCTGGCTTATATGTCCTGGACCAGAAGCTAGAGAAGCTGACATCCCAGAAATACAAAAAGGTAAAAAAAAAAAAGACAAACATTTTTTTAAACACCCAAGAAATTGTTAAAATCAGGGTGGTCAATGAGGAGTGTCTCATTTGTGCTATAACCACCAGAATGTTGATTTGAAATAATTAAAAGATTTCCCCCTACTTCAGAGTTAAAACCACAAAGATTGTTTTAAAATTCTCTTCGTTTCAAGATGAAGATGGAACAAGCTTGAATTCAAGTATCCTGGCAGCACTCCGAAAAATGCAAGATGGCTATTTTGGTGGGGCAAGGTAAGTGCACTATACGCTATTTAGTGAAATGAAATGAAATTACAGGGCTGGGTGTAGCATTGGCATACCTGTGATGCCTTTCTATGTATGATAGTCCCTCCTTTTCTACAATTTCACTTTCTGATACTTCAATTACCCATGGTCAACCTGTAGTCTGCAAATAAGTGAGTACAGTACAATAAGATATTTTGACAGAGAGAAAGAGACTACATTTACATAACGTTTATTATACTATATTGTTGTAATTGTTCTATTCCATGATTATTACTTTAATCTCTTACTATGCTTAATTTATAAATTAAACTATATCATAGGCATGTATGTATAAGAAAAAACATAGAAAAAATAGACACCTGGGACTTCTTAAGGGTGGAGGGCCAGAGGTAGGTGAGGATTACAAAACTAACTGTTGGATACTATGCTTACTATGGGTGATGAAATAATTTGTACACCAAACCCCTGTGACATGCAATTTACCCATGTAACAAATCTGCACATGTACCCCCTGAGCTTAAAATAGAAGTTGAAAATAAACAAATAAATAAATAAAGCAGAAAGAAAAGTAAAAACAGTTACCTAAGTATCCCAATAATGTTTTATCATAGCTGTTTTCTCACCAGTCAGGGATCCAATCAAAGATCACACATTAGTGCTTAGTTATATCTCTTTGATATCTTTTAATCTAGAAGAGTTCTCCAGCCTTTTGTCAGTCTTTCATGACAGTTTTCATTACATTTTTGAAGAATGTAGGTCAGTTATTTTGCAGAATATCTCACAATTTGGATTTGTCTGGTTGTTTCTCATGATTAGATTCAGGCTATATGTTTTTGGCAGGAATACTACCTGTGTGTTGTTGGGTCCTTGTTTTAATTTAGGATCTTTAAGATGGAGAACACACCTTCAATGGTTAGGAGAGGCACAAGATGGAAGTAAAGATTTTATTACTTACAGGTCCTGCGGGTGGGGTACACAAAATACCTGGAGGCCATACACACTGAGGTCAGGGAACATGTGGAAAGAGAAAATGAGAGACCCATGGACTAATGCCTTTATTGAGGTCCAGGGCATTATCCAAACAGATATTCCTTGGGGATTTTTAATTGGTGGGTTTAAAGTAAGCAGGCATGACTTCCAGAAGGTCACACTGTGACTGAGAGGTGATCACTGTGGCATATTGGCATAGTTCATGAAGGATGTGGGGATCAGCAAGGCTAGTCAAATAGATCATATTTAGCTGTCCCTTAAGGTGGCGGTCACCAGGAGGAAGTTGTATAATGCAGATATGTGGATTGACCACAGTGAGGAACTGAGGAAGGTGTAGAACTAGAAACTGTGTCAAAAATGACTGAGTTTTGCTTCTGGTGTGAGAAAGTTAAACTTACATTCAAAATAGATGCCAGGGAAACATGTAATTATAAGAATTTACTATAGTTCTTTTCAGTGCATCATTTCAGGAGGCACATGAGATTTGTTGTGACATTATCGGGCAGTATTAACCTTGATCACTTGGTTAAAGTGTTCAGCCTGGTATCTACCAGGTTTCTGCATATCCATTCTCCAACAGTCTTTGATCAAATCATATTCGCTTCTATTGATTCTTGCGTGAATCACTTATTACTAATGGAGTTATTAAATAGTGTTTCTATCATTCTGTATACACTTATTGGTTGAAATTCTTATGTTAAAAAAGAGCTCTCCTTTCCCCCCTTTTATTTTGTAGTTTAGTATCAGCATAGATTCATAGATTCTTATTTTATTCAATATGTCATGATCCATTTCTGTCATTATTTCAATAATCTAATTATCCAGGATGTGGCCATTGATAGCCCTTTCAAGTTGGCCTCTTTAGAAATTTGGTAATGCTGACTTTGCTTTTGGGTTTTGTAATTCTCTTCATAAGTAGGATACGGTATGGCTTACAGTCTACTATAATTTATAAAATTGTCAAGTACCATCCTGTATGTTCAAAATGGCCCTTGGGGTGTTTTTTAAATGATGTGATGGATTTGTGATGAATTATCTTCATTTTCTCCAGGATTCTCCAGTAGCCAATGCAAATTTTTACCAGATGTTTGGCATAGTTAGCAATGTAGTATATGGCAGTAGAAGAGAGCAAAACTCTTCTGCTGGTAGATTGTTAGTCCATAGTTGTAACCTTTATTAACACAGTGCCCTAACCATTTAAGATGTACACCATGCCTAGGAGTGCTGTAAAATTTTAGTTTTACAAAATTTATATTAATATAGGCACATTAGTAATCCCCCAACAAAACATGCTAGGTGTCCTTTTATCACTAAGATTGTGTTGTTTAAAAAGGATCACCCCTGGCCGGGCGCGGTGGCTCAAGCCTGTAATCCCAGCACTTTGGGAGGCCAAGGCGGGTGGATCACGAGGTCAAGAGATCAAGACCATCCTGGTTAACATGGTGAAACCCCGTCTCTACTAAAAATACAAAAAATTAGCTGGGCATGGTGGTGTGTGCCTGTAATCCCAGCTACTCGGGAGGCTGAGGCAGGAGAATTGCCTGAACCCAGGAGGCGGAGGTTGCGGTGAGCCGAGATCGCGCCATTGCACTCTAGCCTGGGCAACATGAGTGAAACTCCGTCTCAAAAAAAAAAAAAAAAAGGATCACCCCTGATTTTCTGTTTCCTATTTCTCCTCTAATTTTTAGGGTTCAAACAGGTAAATTGTCAGAGTTTTTGACAACATCGTGTTGCACACACTTGAGCTTCATGGACCCTGGACCTGAGAGTAAACTGTACAGTGAAGATTATGATGACAACGATGAGGACCTAGAATCTGGCAACTGGGTGAATGATTATGATTCAACCAGTCATGGTAAGGAGACTTCATAAAGCACTGGCCTGGCTGGACAAAAATACAAAATATTGTTTAGCACCATCCTTAATAATTTATGCTGCCAGCACTCTCACAGTGTTCTATCCTCACTCCTGTTTAATACACCTAGATCTCTACTTTTGTTTGGCTTTACTTTTGCTCCTTCTACTTACCTTTGGTTTCTGGTCTAATATTCTTGTGGTGATTGTGGAGTATGGAGTTGGACTGTCTCTTACAGTTACAATTTGGGAAGATTCCTCTCCCAGCATTTGAAGTGGCTGGTGATTTTGACATGGGAAGAAGCAGTGGTGAGAGATATTTAGTCAAGTATGAAGTAGGAAAATAATACATATACAGTACTGCTTTTTGACATTAAAAGGCATAAAAATATGAAATTTAATTAGAGTCCTTTTTATGTAATATTAGAAGAGCATATCAGAATCTCTGGGGAGGTCTGTGTAGTTTTAAAAAGCCTAGTCAGTATACCTGTTATTTTCATAGTAAAAACTGGACAAATATAACTAAGTCAAACTATAATTGGCTTCTAGGAATACAAAGGTGATATAGTGAGAAAGTATTGCAGGGGCATGAATTGAAAATGACTGAGAAACACTGCCCTATAGTGTTAAAATACCGACTTAGGCGGAGCAGTTATTATGTTGCCTGAGTCCCATACAGAGAAGGGCCAATAAGAAAGAATTATTTGTCTAGCCATCTAAAACATGATTTGCCTGCTTTCAAATGCCTGGGTATTTGGCTGTTAGCCTGTATCTTAAGGAGCCAATTTCTTTATCTTTAGAGTGGTATGTCGGAGAAAAAACAAAATAAATTTGCTTTCCTCAGTGAGGTCAGCCAGCACAATCTCATATACAATAGGACAACACATTGGCAGTCAGAAGAACTATTTTCTTTTTTTGGACCTGGCATTTACTCCCTAAGTACCACTTCATTCATTCTGTATTTGTTTTTGTAAGATCTAAAACAGTTGAATTTCTTTGTTGGAAAAGTACATTAAATATAAGAAAATTAGACGATAAGATTATATATTGAGATTGTTTGCTATTCTATGGATAGTTGCGATTTTTATCTGTAATACTCATTCCATTGGATTACTAAAATATATCTTTCTAATGGTATGTATTACTGAATTTGACATTATGGCATTCTGAGTCACTTTCTTACTTCTGGGTTTACTCGTCAGTCATCTCAAAATGAATGTATTTATTGCTTACCAGCCCTTCTGTGGGCAAAGAGCTTCTCTCTGTATTCTTCATAATCCTCCACTCAAGTTTCTAGATTGTATTCAAGATTGCAATCTTTGTCATTAGGACGTCACTGAATATGAGTTCCATTCTTACAGTTCTGCTAGTTCCCATTAGCCATATCAGAGCACAGAAAGATATCTGGAGAGATTAGTAAATATAATAAAAAACCAGATGACTCATGACTGATATAGCAGACTTTGGTATTGATCTGAATAGTGTGCTTTTCTAACTATAAACATTGTGATTATTCATGTAAAGTCTGAAATATTAAGCTTCCACAGGATATATCATTTTTTTTCTTTCCATTACCCATACTCAGAGATAATGTTATAGAAGATGTATGGGGGAAGGGGAACCCAAGAGAATAGGTACCATATCCATCCTCTTCACCACTGAAATATCAGCACCTAGTACACTGCCTGGTACATAGCACCCAACACATATTTGGTGAATAAGCAAATGAGGTGACTAAAAAGATTTTAGACCTTTCCTGTCCCTTCCTTACAGAAGTCCCCTCACATTAGTGCAACTTGAAGATCCCTGTTCTGGTCCTCCTCCATCCCTGCCACCACTACCATCACATGCACACACGCAAATACACAGATTACTAAATGCTTGCTCCAGTATAAAACAAGCTCATACTGCTTTCAAGAACCCTGACTTTGTCTCAGCAAATTGAAGAAGAGGTGGGTCCTGGTAAATGGTCATGGTCTCTGAATCTTAAAGCGTGAAGTAATATGATCACAAACTTTTCCTCCATGAGCTAAAAACAACCTACTTCTGGTACTGTGTTGTGAGCATAGGAGCCAATCATTCTCTTTGCTGGGGTAGACTGCACGGTAACTAAAATGTTTTCATTTTTTTCTCTTTCCCCTCCCCCCACTAACCTTGCAGCTCGCTGTGGCGATGAAGTTGCTCATTATTTAGATCACCTTTTGGCACACACTGCTCCCCATCCTAAACTAGCCCCTACCTCACAGAAGGGAGGGCTAAATTGGTTCCGAGCTGCTGTGCAAACAACCTGCGACTTAATGTCCTTGGTGACCAAGGCCAAGGAACTGCATGTACAGAGTGAGTAATGCCATGACTCACTAGAGTCAGGCACAGGATGACGTGAAGCCTAGGATTGGGGCGGGCATCGATTACAATGTAAGCAGGAACTTTGTTTTGTTCACTGCTTTATCCCCAGCATCTCAGACAGTGCCTAGAATACATTAGAGACTCAAATACTTGTAAAATTAGTGAATTGTGTATAGTTATGCTGCAGATAGTGCTATGTAGTCTAGTTAAACTAGTAACATGGTAAGAAGAGGCAGAACAAGAGACATGGAGCATATTCAACTATAACATTAAAGTTAAAAATGGTAGAAAGAGCTTTTCCTTTGGGAAATTTACTTCTATGGAATTCTGTTGCTCCAGCAAAGTAGACCTGTTTTGTCAAATATAATATCATACTTCACAACTTTGCCATTCCCCTCCCCATGACCATCACCGTCCTTTAGTTGTATTTGCAGTGGAGAGTGTCATCTGCCACACATTGCCAGGAGTAGTCATGGTTCCTAAGAGTGTTCAATGTCTCTATAGTAGCTGGATATGAAAGGAGAGAAGGGCTCCTTGGCCACACCTGGAAGACCTGAATGTTAACATGTTACAGATGATGAGAATGATTGAGATGCATGCTCTTGCTGTCTAAAACTTTATTGACCATTACTAACCAAAGATATTAAACATGAACATTGGGAATCATTTATCATTTATAACAGGGGAAAGCTTAGCATAGCCATTGAGTATGCTTCCTTGAGAAAGGGCTTATATGAAGAAATGTTTATTAAGTTTTACTTCTCAATTGTGAACCAGAAAACTTGAGCTTAACTCCCAGCTCTGCTACTTACTTGCTTGAACAGTTATTTGAGCTCCATATCTCTCTTTCTGTATCTGTAAAGTGGTGAAAATGGAAAGTCTTTTTTTAGAGGTTATGGTAAGTATTTCAACAATGAACTCTAAGTAAAAAAATCTTAAGAATATCTCAAAGTTGGTCAGCCACTACATTTTTTTTATTCCCTAGATAGGATCATCCATTCATTCACTTATTCTTAGGGAAATCCAACCACTAGCAGCCAGATATTCACCTAGAAAAGTTCAGAAAATATAAAATGCAGCTGAGTTCTTTCTATTATATGTCATATTCCATCAAAGTAACAGTGCATGCAAGCACCATTGTGGATTAATTACATTAGTAAATTTAATATCTTACATGTCCAGCTAGTGCTATAATTCTAGAAATTCAATTCAAAATATACTTGTTAATTGGACATTCTTTATGTTATCTAATATTCAGATTTCTTTGATATTACCAAGAAAGGAGAAATTTCTCATTTTTGTTCTATAAAGAACTGACTCACATGTGACTTCATTGTTGGAGTCAACTGTGCATTTTGATTAATCTCCTAATTATCTAATATTTCCCACAAATGTCATATTTTTACAGATGTTCACATGTATCTTCCTATGAAGTTATTTCAGGCTTCCCAGCCTTCATTCAACTTACTTGATTCACCTCATCCTCGACAGGAGGACCAGGTAAATTTGTGCATGAGGTATTTCTATCGGCTTTTTGAAAAACTGCCATCTTTATGGAAAATAATAGAACTAGCCATTATGGTTCTTGTTAGTAACTAGTGGTAGGCAAAATGCTATCCTGGTGAAGATACATGTTCTTTTCAGTTCACTTTTACATTGGGCAAGTTTGTCTGGTCAGACTTTGGGAAAACTAGATTGCTGTATTATGCATCTGGAAGGTTTCATTGTTTTTCCTTTGCTTTTCATTAATATTTAAAGAATTACTTTGGAAAAGGTTAAGAGGTCAAAAGATGACTCATTCTAGGGCATTATTTAAGCTGAGCGCTTGTGAACTTAATTTCTTTTCATCATTTCTCAAACTAAAGGTTCCCTCTGTTCGTGTAGAAATACACCTTCCTAGAGACCAGTCTGGAGAGGTGGACTTCAAAGCACTGGTTTTACAGTTGAAGGAGACCTCAAGCTTACAGGAACAAGCTGATATCCTCTACATACTGTATACTATGAAGTAAGTGATGGATATTATCAATCTAGTTTAATGTTCATATACAGAGGAAGTATAACATAATAAATAGAGCAAAGCTTTTGGAGTTTCGTGATCTAGATTTGAATATAGTTTAACAACCTATCCATCATGTGACTTCAAAGCCTCAATTGTTCTCATTTATAAAATTTGGATTATATATACCTCATAGAGTTATTGTAAAGATTAAGACATAATATCCATGAAGTCTATAAAACAATGCCTGGCACATGGTAGGTAATCAATAACTGACAAGTATTATTGTCATTATTAGATTATTTTTAAGCCTCATTAATTAGTCAAATGTATAGATAAATTCTTAACTCAAGAGAAGAAAGAATATAAAGGTTTATAGGAAAAAGGAACCAACATTTTTGTTTGCTATGTGTCAGGCATCCTGCTAGGTACTTTGTATTAGTACAAACTTAATATGTCCAAATTGAACTCTTCTCTCCTGAACCTCACAGACCCATACAAAAATAATCGGCTCTGCCTCCTTTTACATGTTGTAATCACCATGAAAATGCAGGGTGGACTTTCCTCCCCTAAATTCGGTTTGAATGTTGAGATAGATGGTGACGTATACATACCAAGAAGGTGTGGAATATTTATTACTCACATAATGAGGCTTTCTGGGAAGAGCAAAGAAGGTTCCCAGGTTGCTCCTAAAAAAGGTTGAGAGCCCAGGGAAAGGAAACTAAACTGGGGCTTTTATAGTCATTAGGTGGTGAACGTTCTCACTAGCTTTTAGTTTTCTTTTTTTGTCGTGTCCTTGTTTGGTTTTGGTATCAGGGTAATGCTGGCCTCATAAAATGAGTTTGGAAGAACTCTCCCCTTTTCCATTTTTTTTGGAATAGTTTGACAAGAATTAGTATCAGTTCTCTAAACATTTGGTACAATTCAGCAGTGAAGCCATCTGGTCCTGAGCTTCTCTTTGATAGGAGACTTTTTATTACTGACTCAGTCTCCTTTGTTATTGATCTATTCAGATCTGTTTTTTCATACTTCAATATTGGTAGATTGTATGTGTCCATAAATTTATCCATTTCTTCTGGGTTTTCCTAATTGTTGACATATAATTGTTCATAATAGTTTCTAACAATTCTTTGTATTTTTGTGGTATCAGTTATATCTCATCTTCTTTTTATTCTTTTGAGGCGGGGTCTTGCTCTGTTGCCCAGGCTGGAGTGCAGTGGCATGATCATGGCTTACTGCAGCCTTGACTGCCCAGTCTCAAGTGATCCTCCCACCTGAGCCTCCTGAGTAGCCGGTACCACAGGTGCATGCAACCATGCCCGGCTACATTATTTTTTTAGAAAGATGAGGTCTTACTATGTTACCCAGGCTATATATCTCCTTTTCATCTCTCATTTTATTTATTTGGGTATTCTTTCTTTTATTCTTTCTTTTTTTCTTTGTCTACCCAAAGCTTTGTTGATTTTGTTTATGTTTTCAAAAAAACCAAGTCCTCGTTTTGTTAATCATTTGTATTGCTTTTTTAGTCTCTATTTTATTTATTTCCACTCTGATGTTTATTGTTTCTTTCCTTTTACTAATTTTGGGTTTAGTTTGTTCTTGTTTTTCTAGTTCCTTTAGGTGTAACATTATGTTATATATTTAAGATCTTCCTACTTTTTGATATAGGCATTAATCGCTGTAAACATCCCTCTTAGAATAGCATTTTTTGTATCTGTTTTGGTATGTCACGTCTCCTTTTCATCTGCCTAAAGAAAATTTTGTAATTTTCCTCTTAATTTTTTCAGTGATCCCTTGGTTGTTTAGGAGCATGTTTAATTTCCTTGTATTAGTAAAGTTTCTGTAGCTGCTCCTGTTATTGATTTCTAGTTTTATATCATTGTGATCAGAAGAGGTACTTGGTATGATTTTGATCTTCAATTCATTAATACTTGTTTTGTGGCCTGATATATAATCTACCCTACAGAATGTTCCATGAAAAGTTGAGAATAATGTGTATAGCTTTTGGATGGAATGTTCTGTAAATATCAGTTAGGTCCATTTGGTATAGTGTACAGTTTAAATCCAATGTTTGTTTGTTGATTTTCTGTCTAGGTGATCTGTCCATTACTAAAAATGGGCTGTTGAAGGCCCCTACTATTATTGTATTATAGTCTATCTTTCCCTTTAGGTGTGTTAATATTTGCTTTATATATTTAGGTGCTACCATGTTGGGTGCATATACATTTGCAATTGTTACATCCTCTTGCTTAACTGACCCCCCTTACCTTTATATAGTGACTTTCTATATTACTTAATATTACTGTCAGCCAGGCTGGAGAGTAGTGACATGAACATGGCTCACTGCAGTCTCGAACTCCTAGGCTCAAGTGATCTGCCCACTTCAGCTTTCTGAGTAGCTGGGACCACAGGTGCATGCCACCATGCCAAGCTAATTTTTAAAATTTTTGCAGAGCTGATATCGAGTAACCCAGACTTGAAATTGTATCATTGTCTTCAATTCCTACTCATACCCTGCCTCTCGCTACAGCATCAACGCTACCATAGAGAATCATGGCCAAATCTAAATCCTCTATGATTTGACTTTTAACCTTTATCTACCATTGCTCTTCCCTTATAATGTGAATGCTGTCACTAAATCAGCCTATTTATTATACCCAAAACACAGCCTCCACATGTCTACTTTGATTCTTGTGTTTTCTGCCTAGAATATTCTCCTTTGCCACACTCCATTTCTACTTCTTGCTTATCTCTCTGTCAAGGCCTAGGTTATCTGTCACCCACATGAAACTTTCTCCAATCTCTAATAGTAAAAATAATCTTCCCTTGATTCTGAGATCTCATAGCACTTTTTTCATATCTTTAAAATTTAACAATGTCAGACTTGGAGAAAAGTTGTGAGGATAGTACAATAAAAATTCTGGATAGTCCTCATCCAGATCCCTCAGACATTGCCACTGAGCTTTTAATCTCCATCTCTCTTTCACATCAACATCATCATCTATACTCAATCACACACACATATATTATTTTTTCTGAACCATCTGAGAGTAAGTGGCAGACATAATCCCCATCTAACCCTAAATAATTCAGTCTGTATTTCCTAAATATTAGAAACTCTCTTACATAAGCACAGTGTAATTGCCAAAATCAGGGAATTGTTTAACATTAAGCCAATACTATTAACTATCTACAGATATTATTAAGATTTGTGATATAGTCCAATAGTGTCTTTATAACAAAAAAATCTAAAATCATGCATTTTATTCAGTTCTCAGGTGTCTTGAGTCTCTATTTATCTGGAACAGTTCCTGAGTCTTCGTTTATCATGTTATTAACATTTGTGAAGAATACAAATCAGTTATTTTGCAGAATGTCCCTCAATTTCAGCATATTCATTATAACACTGAAAGAAAAGATTATTGCCAAAGGCTTTACTTATAACTGATGTAGTCCTATCTTTGAAATTCTAGAGGACCTGACTGGAACACTGAATTGTATAATGAAGGGAGTGCTACAGTCAGAGAGCTTCTTACTGAGCTGTATGGCAAAGTGGGAGAAATTCGTCACTGGGGCCTGATCCGATACATTTCTGGGATCTTAAGGAAGAAAGTGGAAGCACTTGATGAGGTACTATGAATTCTTTAATTTATACCAAATCTAAATAAGAGTGCTTTTTAAAAATTCGGTTTCTATAATTGTTTTTTAAAACAACCATAGCCTCCAGCCATTTGAGATGTCTTTTCCATGTAAAATTTGATATTCAATTCTTTTTGTTTATGAATGACAAGTAAGAATTATAAATTTATAAAAATGTTATATATTGTTGGAGGGATTGGGGAGGGATAGCATTAGGAGAAATACCTAATGTACATGACAGGGAGATGGATGCAGCAAACCACTACCATGGCACTTGTATACCTATGTAACAAACCTGCACAATCTGCACATGTACCCACTACCATGGCACTTGTATACCAATGTAACAAACCTGCACAATCTGCACATGTAGCCCAGAACTTACAGTATAATAAATAAATAAATTTTTTAAATGTTTTATATATATATGTGTGTATATATATATATAAAGATGATAACTATAACATCTTTATAATGATGTTAAGAATTCTATATCTTAAGAATTAATTCACACTAGGTTCCTACCTCCTAGAAAGGGAAATGTCTATATACCATTGGTGGGAATGGAACTTAGTATAGCCACTTAGGGAAAACAGCATGGAGGTTCATCAAAAAATTAAAAGTAGAACTACCATGTGATCCAGCAGTCCAACTATTGGGTATATCTCAAAAAGGAAGGAAATCAGTATATGGGAGAGATATCTACAACTACCATGTTTATTGTAGCAATATTGACAATAGAAAAGGTATGGAACAAGCTTAAATGTCCATCAGAAGATGAATGAATGAAGAAAATGTGGTATATATATACAATTGGATATTATCCTGCATTAAAAAGAGTGAAACTGTCATTTACAATAACATGAATGGAACTGAAGGGCACCGTGTTAGGTGAAATAAGCCAGGCATAGAAAGACAAATAGCACATGTTCTCACTCATATGTGGGAGCTTAAAAAGTTGATCTCATAGAGGTAGAGAGTAGAATGATTGATAACAGAAACTGGGAAGGGTAGTCAGGAGTGGGGGGTAAAAAGAGATTGGTTAATGGGCACAAAAATACAATTAGATTGAAGGTATAATATCTAGTGTTTAATGTCACAATGGGGAGACTATAATTAATAATAATTTGTTGTAAATCCCAAAATAATTAGAAAAGTAGATTTGGAACCTTGCAAACACAAAGAAGTGACAAATATTTGAGGTAAGGGATGTCCCATTTACCAAGGTTTGATCATTACACATTCTATGCTTGTATCAAAATATCACATGTACTCCATAAATATGTATAACTCTTATTTAACCATAAAAATTAAAAATTTAAAAATTTAAACAAATTTTTTTAAAAGAAAGAAAAAAACCCAAAACAAAGCAAACAAAAAGTTCCTACTTTCTAGGAGATGAAAAGACCTCATTGTTCCTTCCTAGAAATCCTTCTTTTCTGATCTTCATGGTATTTTCTGAGGAAGAGAGTTCAGTGTGTCATTAAGTTAAGGAGGAGCAAAGGTTTCTAAGCTGAAAAGAAATGTTTGTGGAAACCTGAGGTGCTACATAAAGGGTAATAGTATGCTATTTCTTGTTAGGCCTGCACAGACCTTCTCTCCCACCAGAAACATTTGACAGTGGGACTTCCTCCAGAACCTCGAGAAAAGACTATTTCTGCGTGAGTATGGCTGGATTTGATCAGGCTTCTCTGCTTGTGGACTTACAATTCTCTTGCCCTAATCTGTCAGTGGATGATAATGTCCTACATATGTGCACCTCTATCAGAGACACTTAGTGGAAGAATGTTGGCAATGATAGGCAAGAGTAAATGAAAGCAAAAACTCACAGAGAGTAGTACTCAAACTGGTTTTACTTACTGGATTTTCCATACCTCCCACTGAAAAAACATAACAAAAGAAACAGGGTACCTTGAATTAGCAACCACAAAGTATCAACTACACTCTGGAAAGAGGAGGTGAAAGAAAGTACCTGGCTAGAGCACAAGGCTGACCATGAAACTCCATGCTCCTCAATAGGAATAAAGGGGATGGAGGTCATAGTCAAAGAGGAAAAATGGCTACTTACAGAGCAATGTGAGATAACGCCACTCCCGGAGCCCTGTAATCAGAGTGCCACTGTCTGAGGTCTGCCACAGCCTCCAATTGGAAACAGTACCCTAAGATAGGCTTGGCCTGGAAGGGGATGTGAGTCAAGTGATGAGGCTGGGATGGAAAATTGAATCCTTACATATGAGTCTTTCTTTGCCACTAGCCGTGCCAGTAAAATTCATCTGCAGTAAATTTGTTTAATTTCATATCACACTAGTGCCAACATTTAAATCTGCAGGCAGTCTGTATTTCCAAGAAATATTTTTAGAGAGATTCTAACTTCATTCATAAATGATCTGAAGAATCTGTTTTTCTACTGGAGAGTAATTTTAAACAAGGATATTCCCCCTGCTTGCCAGTTCTACTTCTGTAGCCAATGTAGTAAAAAAAAAAAATTGTAAATATTTCTCCTTCATTTCTCCTGATTAAACTCTATATCTAGAGCATGTTTTTTATTTACAAATTTTTTTTTACTACATTGACTATAGAAGGGATAGTTTTGCTGATGTCTGCATACTACTTCCTTCCTAGTTTATGTCCATGATTTCTGTTACCCTTAAGTTCCAGTTCAAGTTCCTATATGAAGGCTCAGAGAGACATGAGTTCCAGCAAGCTTCACCACCATGAGCTTAAAGTGCTCTGAGTACTAAATAGACTTGAAAAGCAGTCTAGGCCACAAGGACTGCAATCCCTGGGCAAATCCTTGTGCTGTGCTGGACTCGAAGCCAATGGACTTGGGGTACATGTGACCTAGTGAGACATCAGCTAGGGTGGGCAAGAGTACTTGTGCCACCCCTCCTCTAATTCTATATAGTGCAGCTCAAGGAGAAAATCCTTCCTTCCACTTGAGGAGAGGAGAGGTAATAGTAAAGAGGACTTTATCTTGTAAGTTGGATACCAGCTCAGCCATAGTAGGCTAGGCCACCAGGCAGAGGCATCAGACTCCCATTCTAGGCCATAGCTCCAAGATGACATTTTGACACACTCCCTGCGTCAGAAAGGAACCTGCTACTTTGAAGTAAAGGACCCAGTTTTGACAGGATTTACCACGTGATGACTAAAGAGCCCTTGGGCCCTGAACAATCAGCACAGTGGCCAGGTAGTGCATGGCCATGGGCCTTGAGTGAGACTCTGAGACATTCTGGCTCCAGGTGTGACCAAACACATGCCCAGCTGTGGTGGGTATAGGGATAGACTCCTTCTGCTTGAGAAAAGTAGAGGGAAGAGTAAAGGGGACTTTGTCTTGCAGCTTAGGTACCAGGTTGGCCACAGTTGGGTAGAGCACCAAGCAGATTCTTGAGGTTCCCAATTACAGGCCTCTACTCATCAACAGCATTTCGGAATCTGCCCTAGGCTAGAGAGAAGCCCACTGCCCTGAATGGTGAGTTATAGGCCTGAGAGAATTCATCACAAGCTGACTGAAGAGCCCTTGGGCCTTAAGTGAATGTTAGCAGTAGCCAGGCAGTGCTTGTGATGCGCCTAGGGTGGTGGTAACCTGGGGGAGAGACTTTGCTGCTTGTGGAAAGGGGAGGAGAGAGAGGGAAGGGCATTGTCTTATGGCTTGGGTACCAGCTCAGCCACAGAAGAGCAGAGCACCAGGTAGATTTCTAAGGTTTCTGATTCTAGGCCCTGCTTCCTAATGGCATCTCTGGACCTGCCTGTGCCCAGAGGAAACTTGCACCCTGAAGGGAAGGATACAAGCCTGACTAGCTTCACTACCTGCTGATTATAGAACCCTAGGTCCTTGAGTGAACATAAACAGTAGCCAGGAAGTGGCTACTGCTGTCCTTGGGTGAAATCCAATGCTGTGCTGGCTTCAGGTCTGACCCAGCACAGTCCCAGTGGTGGTGTCCACAGAGGTGCTTGTATTGCCCCTCCCCCAGCTCCAGACAGCTCAGCACAGAAAGAGAGAATCCATTTGTTTGGGAGAAAGTAAGAGAAGAGAACAAGAATACCTGCCTCGTAATCCGGATAATTCTTTTGGATCTGATCCAAGACCACCAAGGTGGTACATCTACAAGGCTGCAAGAGTGACAGCATTACTGGGCTTCGGGTTCCCCATAAAGCAGATATGATTGCAGTGACAAAAAAATTTGATCAAAACAAGTAAGTCTCTTTGGATACCTGGAAAGCCTTCCCAAGGACAGGTACAAACAAGCCCAAACTGTGAAGACGACAATAAATATCTAACTCTTCATTGCCTAGACACGTGAACACCCACAAGACCCAAGACCATCCAGGAAAACATGACCTTACCAAACAAACTAAATAAAGCACTAGGGACCAATTCCAGAAAGACAGACATATGTGACCTTTCAGACAGAGAATTCAAAATAGCTGTTTTGAGAAAACTCAACAAGATAACACAGAAATGTTATTCAGAATCCTATCAGATGAATTTAACAAAGAGATTGAAATTATTTAAAAGAATCAAGCAGAAACTTTGGAGTTGAAAATGCAGTTGACATACTGAAGAGTGCATCAGAGTGTTTTAACAGCAGAATTGAT